AGCTGGGTTTTAGAAACCATAATATGTCCATAGCCAAGCTCTGCTACCTCCTCGAAGGGCTAGCCTAATTGAAGGAAAAGAGGCAGTAATTGGTCTCACAGCACGACAGACACCACTGGGGAGAGAGAGGGTGGTGGAGTAGATAAGACTGAATATAGAGTCCAAAAGACCTTCCTTTGAGTCCCACCTCGGACCCTGACCCAGGGAAGGCCACTTGCCCTCAGAATGTCAGGCTCCTCCCTGGGAGCTCTATATCAGTGAAATCACCGGCACCAGTCTCACAGTGGTTGCTGCAAAGCCTAAATTAAATGCATATATTTTTGTTTTTCTTGCATTCTTAATGGGGGGGGGAGAGGAGGGAGAAGAGGCAGATAGATATTGATTTGAAAAAAAATTAATTGAAGAAATCAGAAACTCCATAAAGTACTTTGCAGAACTTCAAACACTATATGAATGGCAGTTGTAAATATATACAATTCTAGAATAATCAGCACTGCCTAAAAATCTGATGGGCCTAGAATGAATGTCCTTCTGCCTACCTCCTCCCCAAAAAAAGAAAACAACTAGACACCTGCCTCCTCCCCCCCTTTAGGAGCTCAGATCCTTTAATGCCCTCATAGACATTTCCTTGAGTTGCAGGGACTAATTTTTCTTTGTTACTACTCCATCTCGATCTCACCGTGCCTTAGCACAGTGATTGGGACATTTTGAGGGGTCCGGACATGTGATTTCTTTCACTGTGAAAATAACCTCCATCCATAAGTCATAGAGGGTTGCCCAAGCACTGAAAGGTTAAGCAGTTTACCCAGAGTCAAACAGTATGTATCAGAGTCAGAAGGAACATGAACCCAGATCTTAGTGATTCCACAGCCAAGCCCCATATCCACCATGAAGCCCTGCCTTTCATGCTGGATATATAGACTTATGATAAATGTCTATTTTAATTGAATTTATTGAATTGAAATAACTGTCATCTAAGCCTTCAGTCAACATCAGGGTTTTTTTAAGAGTTATTAAAGTTTGAGGCCAGTCATAAGGGCCCTTAGATATGACCTAATCCAGCCTCTGTGCTACACCACCCTACCCTTTTTAAGAATGAAAGAATTTAGGGGCAGCTAGGTGGCGCAGTGGATAAAACATTGGCCCTGGAGTCAGAAGGACGTGAGTTCAAATGCCGACTCACACCAGACACTTGACACTTACTAGCTATGTGACCCTGGGCAAGTCACTTAACCCCAATTGCAAAAAAAAAGAAAAGAAAAAGGAATTTAGATTCAGGAAAGGGAAATAGTTTGCTAAAAAGTCACAGCAAATGAAAAAGTCAGAACTCAAACCCAGGTTCCCTGACTCCTATCGTCATGTTCTTTCCTAGACACTAAAAGGAGATTATCATTCAAAAGGGATAAAACTGCACTAGAAATCTATTATTACATGATTGCATGGGTCATCATTACATAGATTTAAACATAGCAAAAGTGGAGTATGTTCTTCAAAATAAAACTCTATATCCAAAAAGTCCAATGATAAATACCAGTCGTGTGGCCCACTCACTATTATAAGTGGCTCTAGATTGAAACCGTCTACCTGCCTTCCTCTCCTTCAGGACCTAGCTCCAATCCTCTGATGCCCTCTTACACTATTGTTATAGTCAAGAAGTGATTTTTTTTTTAATTTGGAGGCTTCCTGCTGATGGAGCCTTAACAAGGGAGCTATACTTTGGGGGAATCACTGCAGGTCCAGGGTCTCATCCTCTGCTTTCCATTTTCTAAAACTCAATATTTTAAGTTTTGTACCCAGTTCAAGCTCTGGGAAACCAATATATACTAAGCCAACTCCCAAGAGACTGATTTGTCCATCCATAGTTTCCGGCTGAGATCTGGGAAGTATTTTCATTACATCAGCCACAAACCAGCTCTTAGAGAATTTACTGCACCTGATTCCTGTCAGTGTCAGTCAGTCAACAAGCATTTATTCAATTAAGCTCTTAGGATGTGCCAGGCTCTGTTCTAAGCTCTGGGGATTCAAAGAAAGACCAAAACAAAGTCCCTGTCCTCAAAGGACTCAATACAACATTTAAATGAGGTACATACAAGATGTAGACAGAGTTGATGAAAGGTAGTTTCAGAGAAGAAGGCTATAGCAGCTGAGGGCACTGAGAAAAGCCTCCTGCAGAGTGGAGGGTTTGAGATAAGTCTCGAAGGAAGCCATGACACAGAAGTGAGGAAGGGGAACACTCTGAACATGCGGGACAGCCAAAGCTTGGAGATGGGAAGTGTGTGAAGAGCAGCTGGATCACAGAGGGTGTGGAAGGGATTCTTTTGTGTCTGTTCTTATTAACTTCCATTTCAGAGGTCATTTTTTTTGGCCATATCCCCACATCCTGAGGTTTCTTTCTGTTTGGTGGCTTCCTGTTGACTTGCATAATAAATTCCACAGGCTGCAGTTTTGAATGTTCCCAGCAATCAGTACCACACGTGGGAAGGGAAAGGCCACATGGGCATGAGTACAAGTCACTGCCACCGACTGTGTGGCCCCCAATCCCTGACTGACTTGCCTTTTGTTTGATGAATGTGATGAAGAAAGTAAAGAGAGGGGTGGGCGGTAGCAGCAATAGTTAGAGATTCCGGTAGCTGGCTTGAAAAAGAGTGAAGGACTATGGGAAGGGGAGGTAGTCAACTCCAGCAGAGAGGCTTTTGGCAGGTGGGCACTTGTTATGGTTGGCCAAGTGGATGGCAAAGTGACCAACAGAGAGTAATCATGTTATTAGAGTAATTAATGAGCCATTATCTTGTGTCTGGACTTCATGACTACCTCAGGGATGTTGTCACTCAGGTGTCTGTGTCCTCTGTTTTCTGCCTTAACTCCCCCGCTATACCAGTGCTAGCTAGAAGGGAAAGGCTGTTCTAGAGGCAGGGTGCCTTTGGAAGACATCAACATTAATTAACAGTGAAGAAGTGGCAAACAAACAAGGAAGTGACACTAATTAGGCAAGTAGCTTCACCTTTCTAGGCATCCATTTCATAACCTGGAAAATGAGGTGGTAATCTACCCTCCCTCACAGCCCTGAGGTTCACTGGAAAACTGAGGTCACTAATTGTCCGAGCTTTAAAGCTGGGGAAGGGCCAGTTAGCATCTGCTGCTCTGGAATCTCAGAGATTCAGTAGGACAGGTAAATAAATGGCTTTTCCCAGAGTTGGGCATGGTTTTGTACCACAGCTTTTGATGATATAGATAGTAGCCCGCCAAAATGGTGCTAGGAAGTTTTAGGCTTTGGTACTACGAGGTGGGGGAGAAGATGAGATCCAGCCTCTGAAGTGACAGATTTCCAGCCCCGTTCCTGTGAGCCTGTGGTTCAAGAGGGAAAGGCTGAGCTCTGAGCTGAGGTTAGACTGGGCTTAGGGAATTCTTGGCTCTGCCTTTCTGACTTCAGCCCTGTGAACTTGGTACCTCATCTCAGTTTTGTGTGTTGATTCTTCTCTTTGTTATTTATTGGGGAGAGAATCTAAAATCTGATATCTTCACCGTAAGGGAAGAAGGGTTTTCATCAGTGCAAGATCAGGAAAGCTTCGGGAAATGCTGGTGCCCAGGGAAGGGACTGCATCTCTGATGCAGATGTCTGTGGCCCTGTACCTTATCACCCACCCCAGCCTGGAATGCTGGGGATAATGGGTGGGGTAAAGGGGGATGTCTCACCCCAGTGCCTTGGTCACCCCCAGTTGGGACTAGTAGAGCCCAAGCTTTAGGGAGGTATGAGTTCATTTCAAAAAGTAATAAAACCCCAGAGAGTGGTCCCAATTTCAGCCATAACTGCTGCCACCTTCCCTCTTCTTTATAACCCCTCTGTATCAGGATGGCAAGAATGCTTCCTGGCTAGAATCTGCATCCAGAAATGGAAGAGTGCATGAGGTCATCTTGACTCAGTGATGCCCAAGCTGCTGTGGGTGGCACAGTGGTTGGAGCACTGAGCTGGAGTCAGGAATATTTCCATTGAAATCCCACCTCAGATACTTGCTAGCTGTATTACTCTGGACAAGACACAACCTCTAGAGGTCTGCCTCAATTTCCTCAACTGTAAAAGGGGAATAATAGCACCTACCTCCGAGTTGCTGTGAGGATAAAATGAGATACTTGTAAGGTATTTAGCACAGTGCTCGGCATGCTGTAGATGCATCTTCCCTCCCTTCCCTCCCTCTCTCTCTATCCTCCCGTAGACCAAGGTCAGGTTACTGAGGCTCCACTTCAGGGAGGCATTGACACATTGATCGTTCACACACCAAGGCAAAGGTGAGAGGCGGGTCGACCTCCTTTATCATGGGTCAGAGGTACCTGGACTTCTTTGGAAGCCTCAGCTTCTAGGTCTCGTCACATCCCTAGGGCCAAACAGATTGGGTGAACACAGGGCAGTATGTCCCCCTGGCCCCCAAGAAGCATTGCTCCCTATTTAGTTGGGGAAGAAGCTGGAGCAGGAGCCAAGCAGGAACAATGTGGGACCTCAACAAGCTTGAGGAAATCCATGCCCTTCAGTCACCAGCTGATTTCTACCTGTGGGCATCTTCTGTTGGGGGCTACATGGAGCCTGCTAAAAATCTCAGTAGGGGAAGAGTTCTGGGGCAGGGCCTGAATGGGAAGGCCCCCAGAAGGTCTCAAGAATATGTAAACAGGAAGGTCTCTGCCAAAGAGACCCCACAATACAAAGGGCCAGGGACCACCTGGGGGGAAGGGAGGGAGGAAAGTTTTAGGTTCCCCTAAAGACTGATGCTATCTGTCATCCAGGTGACAACATGAGGCTCACTTGTGCATCATCTCAAAAAGCTGCAACTTTCCAGCAGACCTATAATCAAAGCTCTTTATATTCTGATCGCTGCTACCACAATCAGCGCTTCCGATTTGGGAATTTACAAGTTAGATTTACAACTGCACACAATCCCTAGAATTTTATGCTCCAGTTCTCCCCCACATACCTCTGGGAAGGGGGGAGGGTCATTCTCCAGTCCATTCTCTAGTCAGTTATGCTGAACTGTTTATTAATTGGTTTGCAATCGATGAGGGTGACCTTGGACAAGGAGGACCCAGTTCTCGGAGATGAGAGTAGGGATTGAGAATCTGTCCTTTGACCTTGTCTCCTCTCTGTGGTTGTAGCCAGCACCAGCATTAACGGGGAGTTTAGGCCCTAACTTGGGAAGGGGTCTCCCTATATGCAGGCACAGTGCTGAGTGAGGAGGTTGGGCACTGTCTCATACTTGAAGGAATAGCCTCCGTCTGAGGTGGTACGGACACGCAGGGGTCTCATGGTGCTAGGCAAAGCAGCACAGCAGGGCCGGGAGCCTGGGCCCAGGGGCAGGGGCTGAGAAGGCATGAGGGAGGCCCCAGGAGACAGAACTGGGGAGGGGACCAGCCCACAGCCCCCGTGGCAGTAATGGAAGATGAAGCTAGACGGGTGAACAATCCACTGGTCCCAGCCGAGTTCCTGGAAGGAGATGTTCAGGGCAGCCCGATGGCAGTCAGCATGGGCAGCTGGATCTTCTGAAGGACGCTGCAGCAAACGCAAGGCAGCAGGAGACCAGGGCCAGGGGGGCGGAAGGGGGGAGCGACGAGCCCTCTCCCCGACACTGGGTGGGCGGGCCCTGGTATGTGCCACCAGGAAGGGGGTGGCATCAAGCCGGGCCAGGCAGGGGCAATTTGGGCAGTGAAGCAGCAGCACAAGGAGGGGACGGGTCAGCAGCGTGAATGCAGGGGCTGCCAGATGAAGCACGGCCCAGTGAGGTGGGGCTGGGCCCAGTAATATTGGCACTGCAGTGGGTCCCCCTGAAGACATGGCCAGCAGTGTCATGGTGGGGCCCGAGTCATTGTGGACTTTGGCACCCCCCCTGTCCAGGCCAGTGTGGAACCACAGCTGGGCAGCTGTCACCTGGCGACTTCGCGTGTGCAGGGAAGGCCGGAATGTGTATGTGAACAGGCCCTCAGCCTCCCCAGTCTCTGGTTCATCTTCACAGCCGGGACCTGTGGAAGAAAAAGTGGGTGGCCACAGTTGGCGGGAGTGGGAGGGAGGAGAGACTTAGGGAAATGGAATTTCTGCTTCCTCCCCTCTTCAAACCAGGTACAGAAATGCATGAGAAAGGGCCAATATCTATCCTCTTTTACGAGTAAGTATCTAGTAGGAATGAGAAAAGAGAAAACCTTTCAAAGAGGCTCATAAAGTAGAAGACAGGAAAGTCATGAGGAAGGGAAAGATAAAAGTGGCAAGTGTGCCCCCAAAATGTTACCAAGTCATCCTTGGAAAGTTCCTCCTTCCCCTCTCTTGCATTCTGGACCTTTTCTGGAGTGTTCCTCACTCAGAGGTAGAGGGGCTAGGGCTTAACAGAGGCCAGGAGGTGAGGGGAGAGATTGAAAAGGATAGGAAAGGAAGGGGCCCCGATCCCAGATGCCCACTGTCCCTTTCTAGTCCCCTTCCACACTCATGTTACCTGAGGTTGGGAAAAGGATGACCTGGGATAGGTCCTCATCTTCGTTTTCCACGCTTCTGCGTGTGGGCCCACCAGCATGGGCATGTCTGCGGGGCAGGCGCCGGGCCCCAGGCTCACCACCATCCTTGGAGGCATTGGGGGCGCCCAAAGCATCCAGCACCACGGCCCTCACTTTGGCCAGCACCAGCTCCCTGGCTGGTTCTGGGCCCTGGCATCCGTGTCCACCCTTCATACCCATCAGCAGCAGAAGCTGCAGGACGAGCAGCAGAGGCGGCATGGCCGGGGGCCGCATTGAGATGCCCCACCCGAGCTTCCTGCTGCCCTCGGCTCCTGGGTGACTATTCTTAGTGCCCACTCACGGCGGGTGCTACACTCCTTCCTGCCCTCCCCACTCTCCCCTGCCAGCCCTCTCCTCTTCTTCCCACGCCCAGCAGTCCCTGGCTGGCATTGAGGCCTATCTCTGACGCAGATGTCTGTGGCCCTGAGCCTTATCACCCACCCCCGCCTGGAATGCTGGGGGTGGGATAAAGGGTCATGCCTCGCCCCAGTGTCCTAGTCACCCTCGATATGCACCCCCTCCCCAATTCTGCAGTTTTCCTGAGTCTGCCACTGTATTGTCCGCAGGGCAAAGTTGGGGAGCAGGGGTGAAAGGTGAACTCTCAGTCCCAAAGAGAGAATTATTCGGTTCCCTTAGAAAATCTTCTGGCCCAAGACAGCTGTGGCCCCTCTCAGACTGCAGCTGCTCCCCAGGCTTAGGGGAGAGAGCTGGGGAATGGGGGTGGTCTCTTTGGTCTATACTTAGCCCAGAGGAGCCAGGCTAGTGTCTTATCATCCAGCTGTGTCATCAGAGATTATTTTTGGGGCTGGCAGCTGCACTCGTCTGTGACACTCAGGCCCCCAAGCAGGGCCGCTGGGGAGTTAGGACTGGAAGTGGGGGAGGGAGGAGGCCCAGGTTGTGGGCAGGGGTCTGAGGGAAAAGTGTGTCAGTGCAGCACAAGGCAAGGCAGTGAGTAGGGAAGGCTGGGCCCCTTGTCTGGACAGACGGACGGACAGACAGACCTCCTGTCAGGTTCAGGCTTCAGAGAGAGTGGGAGGCCCCAAAATAGCCTCCCTTGTGTATCATCTCCAGCTGGACCTAGAGGGTAAGGAGGAAAGGAGGAGGGGGTTGGAGGGAGGGGGGTGAGGGAATGGGAGCCGCTGCCCATCTGACTATGGCGGACCTTGCCTCCCACAAGTCCTGGCTGTCCGTGGTCACCCTGCCTCTGCTGAACCAAGAATCCCGATCCCTTCACTGCACCCCTTCTCTCCTGATTCCTCCCTCTCTCCCCTTCCCTTCCCTTCCCTTCCCATTCCACCATAGGGTTAGCTGTGCCACGTGGCCATGGAAGGGATAGGTGTGGTTGGGGCTGCTCCTCGCTTCCTTCGCTTCCCGAGGCCCATCCAGGTGGTGAGTGGCACCGATGCCGTGCTGCGCTGCTGCCTCACAGGCTCCCCTCCTCCTACCGTCCTGTGGGAGAAGGATGGGCACCAGCTGGAGGCGTCCAGCCGTCTGTGTCTTCAGACAGAGGGGGCTGAACATAGACTTTTGGTAAGGGAAGCTGGGGCTCCAGATGCCGGAGTGTATGTGTGCCGGGCCCAAAACTCATCTGGGGAGGCCTATGCCGCGGCAGCCCTCACTGTACAAGAGTCTCTGGTTGCAGCCCCGATCCCCCCAGAGAGGTCTTCAGATTCAGCCCAGGAGTCTCCTGACCTGATCCCTTTGCAGGGTCCCCTTCCTATGGCCAGGACACTGAGTCCTCTGGACACAGCTTCCACATTCCTATCCTCAGACCCAGCCCAGACCCACACCCCTTCACAGGGCTCCCCAGGCTTACTTCCTGAGCCCTCAGAAGGTCCCCCCATGTTCTTGGAAGGTCCACAATCTCAGTGGGTGCAGCAGGGTGAGGAAGTAATATTGACATGCCAAGTAGGGGGGCAGCCAGAACCAGCAATGCACTGGGAGAAGGACGGGCGGCTCCTGGAGAATATCTGGGAGAGTGGTCACTTCTGTCTGACAAAAAGCCCGGCTGGCCACGAGCTAAGGATCAGGGGTGTTCGACTACCAGACGCGGGTGTCTACGTGTGCCACGCAAGCAACACTCACGGATGCACGGTGGCCGCTGCCCTGCTCCAAATCCAGCCCTCTCCAGAGACCCCTCTGAGCTCCCCCCACCAGGGCCAGAGGGATTCTGCAGGGCAGGGCTCACCTGCCCCTAAGAGCTTCTGGGTGAGCGAGGGAAAACACGCCAAATTCCGATGCTATGTGACTGGGAAGCCCGAGCCAGAGACCGAGTGGCACTGGGAAGGCCATCCTCTGAGCCCCGGGCGCCGCCGCCTGCTCTACCGGGACCACGACGGAGGCTTTGTGCTGAAGGTGTTATACTGCCAGCCCGCCGATTGTGGGCTTTATGTCTGTGCGGCCCGCAACACCGCAGGGCACACACTCAGCGCAGTCCAGCTCCATGTCAGAGGTACAGAGGCCTGCAGAAAGGAGGCCGTAGGAACAGAACCACAGCAGTATCACTGACCAAGTGAGGGGAGTGTTGGGCACCTAGCATGAGCCCCCAATGCTGGGGCCATCTAAGCAACTCTAAGGCATTGCTCCTGCCCTCGGGAATCCTACAGTCTAGTTGGGGAAACCAGATTGTCACACTTGAAACAATATACATATGGCATAAAAGTGCCAGATTATGTGGTTCTCCAGGCCTGGGGAAAGGCATCTCAGTCAGGTCTTTGGGGAAAAATCCCTCAGTGCATCTCTTGACTTTGTCTATCTGTCTGTCTCTGTCTCCTTTTCCCTCCTTTTCTCTCTCTCTCCCTTTCTCTCCCCCTCCCCCCTCTCTCCCTGTCCCTCTCCCTCCTTTTCTCCCTCTCCCTTCTTTTCTCTCTCTCCCTCTCCCTCCTGTCTTATTATCTCCCTTCTCTTCCTTTCTCCCCCTTCTCCCTCTCCCTCTCCTTCCTCTCTTTCTCTCTCCCTCTTCCTTTCTTTCCCCCTCCTCCCTCTCTCCTTCTCCCTCCTTTTCTCTCTCTCTCCCTCTCCCTCCCTTTCTCTCTCTCCCTCCTCCCTCTCTCCCTCTCTTTCCCTCTCCCTCTCCCCCTCCCCTTCTCTCCCCTGGGTCCCAGAGCCCCGAGTACGTTTTGCAGTGCCCCTCGAGGACGTGGAAGGTGAAGAGCATGGGGATGCAGTGCTGGAATGTCAAGTGCCCTCCCGCAGCATTGTCACCACCTGGTACCGGGAAGACCAGCGGCTGCTGCCTAGTCCCAAGTATGAGATGGGGGAGTCCGGGGTCGTGCGGCGCCTTATCATCCATGACTTGGAGGCCGACGATGATGGCATTTACCTGTGTGAGATGCGGGGCCGAGTGCGGACGGTAGCCACGGTGGCTGTCAGAGGTCAGCCAGGCCAGGGGCGATGGACACTGATGGGGGAATGAGGGAAGCTGAACCCAGGCTCACTTGCTCTGCTAACCTCCACATACACACCCACCCGGCTCCTCTATCCCCAGGGCCCATCACGAGGCGGCTGCCAAGGAAGCTGGATGTGCTAGAAGGAGAGAATGCGGTACTGTCAGTGGAGGCTCGAGGAGCCAAGGCTCTTGGGCACTGGACTCGGGATGGCCAGGAGCTGCCAGCCTCACCCCGAATCATCCAAACCAGTTCCAACCACACACACACCTTGGTACTGGTGGGGGTCACACGCCAGGATGCTGGTGTGGTCACCTTCAGCCTGGGCTCCTCCCACACCTCTGCCAGGCTGAGGGTCAAATGTAAGGATGGGTGTGGCCAAGGGGAAAGAGTCTAGAAAACCAGGGAGGAGGGTGAGAGGGCATTGGGTAGGGCAAGGGCTAGAGGGTGAATGACTAGGCTGGAATATTTGTCAGGTGTCAAGAAACAGGAAAGGAGAAATATTCAGAGTTAGAGAAGGTGGCTGTAGCTTGGGCCCAGGGCAGAAGGCAGAGATTTTGGAAGCCTGAGGGAACGAGGACAGAGTAGAGGAAGGGCATGAGGTTGGCAGGATGGAAGTCGGATTAGAGCTGCTGGACATGCCTGAGTCCAGCCTACGGCCAGGGGAGAGCTCAGGTGGGTTGGGAGGTGATTACCGAGAAAGCCCTGGAACCTGACACATTTTGTCTTAGGTGTGAAGCAAGTACCCCCGGGGCCCCCGGTGGCAGTGGAGCTGGGCACAGGATGCAGCAACACAGCCCTGCTCAGCTGGAAACCCCCCGTGCCTGCCCCTGACACAGCCTATACCTACCGGCTAGAACGTCAAGAGGTGGGTGCAGACACCTGGGTGCAGTGCCTCACTACAGAAGCAGCTGGTGCCGTGGAGGTGCCAGGAGACAGTGTGCCTAACGAGGGAGACTATCGCTTCCGGCTCTCTGTGATCAGCGAGCACGGCCAGAGCCCCTACGTGCTCTTTCCAGACTCAGTGCACCTGGGTGAGTTCCCTCTTTTGGTACCTAGACTGTGCCCTCCATGTCTCACCTCCTCATCCCTCAGTCTCTCTGCACTGTGCCCTGAGCCCAAGCCGTGCCCCCTTTCTCTGCCTCTAATGACCGCTTCTTACCTTCCCAGTGCCCACGGCTCGGGTGCAAAGGGCCCTACAGGATGTCTGTGTACAAGAAGGGGATGATGCTACCTTCTCCCTTGAACTCTCCACCTTGGTGCAAGGCACCTGGTTCTTGAATGGGTTGGAACTCAAGGCAGGGGGACCAGAGAGTGGGTCCAGGGATGAAGCCCAAGGATACCTGGTGCAGCAGGAGGGCCCCCACCACAACCTGCTCCTCCGAGCCACGAGGCTCCAAGACAGCGGCGCCCTCATCACTTTCCTGTGCCCTGGTGTCCGCGTCTCTGCCACGCTTCACGTGCAAGGTAGGAATTGTAAATAAAGGACCCCTCTGTTACTAGAAGAGGCAGCCAGGTTGATGGGAAAGGCACTAGCCTGAGAGGGAGACAGCCTGGGTTCAAATCCTGACTTTGACACTTACTACCTGCATGACCTTGGGGAAGGTATAGTTCAGAAACAATCTCTGAATTTGGCGTCAGAGGACTGGGTTTTAATACCTGCTCTGTCGCTTAATACCTATGTTATCTGGCCAAGAGGGAGAAGGGGCTTGGAGCTGTCTGGACCTCAGTTTTCAATCTGTCACATGAAGAGGCTGAACCACATAGCTTCTGAGGTCCCTTCCAACTCAAAATCAATGTTCCTGGAAAATAATAATAATCACAATAGCTCACAAGTCACACTATGCTTCGAAATTTGGAAAATGAGGAAATCACAACAGCCCTATAAACTAGGTAAGAGGGATATTCCCCACCTCATTTTGCAGATGAGGAAACTGAGGCAGTAAGGGATTAAATGACTGGCCAGTGATCACACAGCTAGTGCCTGATTCAAGATTCAAACCAAGCTCCTACGACCTCAAGTCCAGCATGCCACCACTGTGGCTGTGGTGACCACTCTGTCTTTCCAAC